GAGGGTCGTGAACTCACCTCGCTGAGCAGGAGTCGGAGGCCCCAGCTGAGTCCGGCCGGGATGGCGTATGCGCTGCGCTTCACGCTCCGCAGCATGGCCACGTGGTCCCGCTCTGGGGGGACAGGGAACTGGGGAGGCAAAGACCCCATTCACCCCACGCCTCTTTGGCTGCTGAGCCACCTCACAAGCGGGCAGCAGCAGCCGCAGACCCTCCCCCTCGACCCCTCGGGACAGAACTGAGGGTCAGCCAGGCAGAATTGTAAAACAGCAGCAGCCCTTTGGACTTATATACCGCTTCACCCGGTGCTTGACAGCCCCCCCTCTAAGCAGTTTACAGAATCAGCCTCTTGCCTCCCCCCCCCAACAATCTGGGTCCTCGTTTTACCGACCTCGGAAGGACGGAAGGTTGAGTCAACCCTGAACTGATCAGGATCGAACTGCTGGCGGCGGGCAGAGTTGGCCTGCAAAATGCTGCGTTATAACCATTGCGACACCAAAGGGGGCACTCGCACCAAAGAGGCTTAAACAAGCCAGAGTGGAACCATGATGGCTTAGTGGAGCTCAGCCCCTGCCTCTCTGGCGCTTATCCTAGAAACCTAGGGCTGGAAGGGACCTTGGAGGTCATCTAGCCCTACCCCCTGCCCATTCAACCTCAGACAAACAGTTGTCCAATCCTGGAAACCTCCAGTGATCCAGCCTGTCTGGTTGCTGGTGGGGGCAGGTTCCTGGGGTACTGAGGGACCCCCCCCTCCTTGTCCTTACCTGTCCAGTGGCCATCGCAAACAGCAGCACCCCCAGGGACCACCAGTCGGCGGCGTGGGCGTACGGACCGCCTCTCAGCACTTCTGGGGCTGCCCCAAAGGAAGAGCAGAGGGTCACTCATCTCGTCTGCCCGTCTGACCCCCCCTTTCCCCCCCACAGCCTCCCCCTCTCCTGCCGACTGCCTTACCCATGTACTGGAGGGTCCCGCAGATGGTGAAGGCTCGCTGGTTCCAGGGCAGATGCCGCGAGAGGCCGAAATCGGCCAGCTTGAGGTGACCTGGGCCAGGTGGGGCATAAAGCAGAGATCCTGAATCCAGAGCAACCAAGGTAGTCCCCGACTTACGGCTACAATTTCTGTCGCTAAGCGAGACATTTGTTGGGTTTTCCCCATTTTACGACCTTTCTTGCCACAGTTATTAGTGCGGTCGTTAAGTGAGTCACACGGTTGTTAAGAGAATCCGTCTTCCCTCACTGAGCTTGCTGGTCAGAAGGCCGCAGAAGGGGATCACAGGACCCCGGGACACTGCGACCGTCGTAAATGTGAGTCAATTGCCAAGCGCCTGAATTTCGATCACGTGACCAGGCAGATGGAGCAACGGTCGTAAGTGTGAAAAACGGTCCCAAGTCCCTTTTTCCACCGCCGTTGTAACTTGGAACGGTCACTAAATGAACCGTTGTAAGTCGAGGACTACCTGTAGGGCAGCTTGACCTGTGGACTTCAACTCCCAGAATTCCTGAGCCTTCAAGTTATGATGTTAATAGAGCCCGCCCACCATAATCGTAAGTCAGAACAGGATTAAAATTTTATCACGTTAAAATTTGAGGCAACTGTTAAGCGAACGCTGCGTCGTTAAGCGAACCATCGGGCGCAGCTTTGCCGAAAAGAAGGGCCGGTTTTCAGCAAAACGGTCGTCAAACGGGACCACGGGAGCGTCCGGCGCATGGTCACGTGACCGCAGAGGGAGTCCGACTATCAGAACTCTGGGGCTGGGTCCTGAGTCCGCTTTTTTTGGGGGGTGGGCTGGTTGTAACTTCAAACGTTCGCTGGGGTCCCTCTGAATGGGCCGGACCAGGAATTCTGGGAGTTGAAGTCCACAGGTGGTCAAGTTGCCCACAACTGCCCAATCCTGGTCCGGAGGCCTCTGGGCGAAGGGAGAGCCGTCCTTTTGCCCCCCTGCGTGGGGGGAAACTCTGTCTCAGACCATCCAGCCTGGGCTGGGTAACAGCTGGCTAAACAGCTGGTTCAAGACTGGAGCATACTTGAAGGATCAATCTCAAGAAAAATTTATCTTGGTATGGAGAAGATGGATAGATTATATGAAGAGAAAGTATGACATGATTAATTATCATATAGCTTTTGAATAAATATTTTTCTTTTCTAATATTTTTTATATATTTAATATAATTTATACATATATTTTATATTCAAGTTTACTATTGTATGTTAGAGTTAAAGTATGTTAATTTTGTTTGTATTATGAATGGATAGCTTAATTTAGACTTGGGATGTTATGTATTTATCCCTGTACTCAGTTCTGGGAAGTCCGGGGGGGGGGAAGGGGATGAAGGGGTAGAATTATATAAAATTTGGTGTATTTATAAATATAATTTATAAATATAAATGTAATGTAAATGTTTGTCCTTAAGAAGAGGAGATGATCGGCTAGTACCCGTAAACTGCATCCGAGGTGGTGGAAAAGAAGGTGGTGGGATGTGTAGGATAGTTGGGAAGGAGGAAAGAGGAGAGGTTGTGGTTAAGAGGAGGAGGGGGAAGTTAGGTAGGAAGGTTTTTTATGTGTTTGTTTTTCTAATGAAATGCACCATATTTGCATTATTTGTCCATATGTTTATTTGAAAAATTAATAAAATTTGTAAAATCGAAGACTGGAGCATCTCAGCCTCACGGGGGACCGGCCACGTGCCTCCCGCAGCCTTCCCGGCTGCCTGGCGGGCGTTCCACTTACTGCCCATCCCCGCAGCCGAGTCAGCTCTCCAGCAACCCTTTTCTGTGGCCCCGAATGGGGGGCTGGTGCGGAGAGTGAGGAAGACCCCTCCCCTCCTCCTCTTCCCCCTCCCACGATTACCTTGTTCATCTAAGAGGATGTTTTCCATCTGCAAAGAAAGCAAAAATAATAATAATAATAAAGAGTCCAAGAGTTAAGGAAAGGCAGCCGGGGAGTGGGGGGCTGGCTTGGCTAAGGGGCTTCCAGCATGGAGGGCAACTGTTGGCAGACATTTGAGAATCAGCTCGCACTGCCCACTCCCTGGACCCCCAGTCAGGGAAATGAGGCCAGGGTCCCATACCTTGATGTCCCGGTGCACGATACCCTGGTTGTGAAGATAGGCTGCAAAGAAAAAGAGCGTCAATAATGGAGAATATTTGTAACTCAGGGTTGAACTTGGTGGTCTCTCAGCTGGGTGGTTTTTCTTGCAGGCGCTTCGTGGCCCTACTAGGTAGTGTCTTCAGTGCTAGAAGGGGGGGTGGCAGAGAGGAGGAGGAGGAGGAAGAAGGAAGGAGGGAGGAGGAGGAGGAGGAGGAGGAGGAGGAGGAGGAGGAGGAGAGGACAGGAGTGTTCCAGTATTTGAGGGGCTGCCACAAAGAAGAGCGAGTCAAATTATTCTCAAAAAAAGCCTGAAGGCAGGACAAGAAAAAAAATGGATGGAAACAAATCAAGGAGAGAAGCAACCTGGAACTAAGGAGAAACTTCCTAACAGTGAGGACAATTAACCAGTGGAACAACTTGCCTCCAGAAGTTGTGGGCCTCTCATCACTGGAGGTTTTTATGAAAAGATTGGACAGCCACTTGTCTGAAATGGCATAGGTAATGTAGTAAAATGAACAATAACTAGAATAATGATTTGTCTGCATAATTGCTAGAATAATGATGTAATGCATAATCACTGGGAAAATTCACTGGGAAAGTTCTGTGTCAGTAATATGTGACTAACCAAATGCGCATTGCACATGGATACTTTGTATGTAGCAAAACCTACCATTGTATGCCCGTGAGAAACCATCCTAATGTATTACAGTGTATTACCATGTGGAGTCCCTTTGTTCCTGAAAGAAGGAAAGTATAAAACTGAAGTCTAATCCCGCCCTCCTTCTTCAGAATTGCCTGTCTCCATTATGCTTCTGAACCTGCGCAAATAAACCTCTCTGCTAAACCCCTTTGGAATTCGTAAGAG